TCTTTGGATTTGAGACTTTAGTCTTTGCAACTTTACAGATCTTCTTTATGCACCAAGAGCTTGTAACACTCCAAAGAGAAAGGAAAAATTTTAATCACATCATATGACCCCTTTAAAAAAAATAAAAAATCCTTACATTTAACAAACAAAAAATACTCCAAACGTTTTTCTAAATAACTTTATAAAAAAACTAAATGAAATATAATCCCTTTTCCATTACATACAAAACTGAACTATTTTAATAGCTGAAACAGTAAGCTTTTTTTGGGGAAAGGGAAAAAAAGACGGGCTAGGGCCTATATTTGAGGCCCGTACAGGGCTCTAATCCACTTCATCCAATGCTGTTTTGTTCTCTGTTTTCATCTGTGAGCATGCTCTTGATATATGTATTTTACCATTTTGTTGAGTTTAAAAAGTGTGACACATTCGTTCTACTCTCACTGATCATTTGGGCCCCCATTAAAAAAAAAACTCTGTGCGTACCCTCGGAAGAAATCCTGCAGGCACCCTTGCATCCAGTGAGACACTAACAGATACATTCAACATTCTGAGTCTCCGGCCTGTGAAGGTGACACCGTAACAGATACGTTCAGGTTCTGAGTCTCTGGCCTGTGAGGGAGAGATGCCAACAGACCACACCCTGAGTCTCCAGCTTTTGAAGCAGCAACAGATACAACCACGTTCTGAGCCTCCAGCCTGCGAGGAAAGAGATACTCTACGTTCAGAGTCTTCTTCCAGCGAGACAACAACAGATGCAGCATGACTCGAGTCTTATCCTAGAGAGACAAAGCGGATTGACCAACTTCTGAGTCTCTAGACCAGAGAGGCACAAGACATACAGACATTTGCAACAAGGTTAAGCTCCGGCGAGCAAACCTCCACTTCAAGGTACTTTCATCTGCGTGTTCCAGGACCTTCTGCACCTAATCCAGGGCCACGCCTGTGTTCCAGATTTTAGGACCCTTTGGTGCTCCAGGAGCTCAGCATCCTATAGCGCTTCATGCTCAAGGCTGTTGAAACGGATTCCTGCTCCTTTCCCCTTTGCATTGCTACCAGCACAACCAGTGGAAGAAGTCACCGCCATTGGACTGCAGTGCACACTCGACCACAGAGAACATAAACATCACTTATCAAAACCTCTTCCAGAGATCTTGGCACTGTTTTTATATAATCAGCATATGAATTTCTAATTTATATTAGATGTTATATAGCTGATGTCAGATTCTAACAAATAATCTCTCGATTTATTTGTTTGATGCATAATATGGTTCTTCACCTTATTAGTTTCAGTTTATCTTTTCAGAAGATAACATAACTCTGCCATAGCAACACCCAACTAAATCACTTACATTTTTTGCATCTTACGCACTTTATTCCTTTTCATTCATCGTATGCATTAGTAGTTGTTGATTACTCTTGTCTATCTTTTGTTAATAAAATTTATTTTATCATACTTGTGTCTTCCTTGTGTTGATAATACAGTAAGAGGTTCTACAAGTTAGATATCCCACAAATCTTTTTTAGCTGATGTACTCATAACCGCACCTTAAGTGGCACGTGATCCAAACATCATCGGTGACGTGAGTACCCATCACTACCCTATTTCACCTCCCTAGGTTGGCGAAAGCAAACTCACTACAAATGAAAACTTTTGAACCCCTCTGTATGATCATAGCATTAGACATTACATTTAAATATTACATGGAGAGATTGAAAGATAACTGGAAGATATCCAGTTTAATTTTAGCATGTACTGGTGAGGAAGCTACGAGGTCACAGATTGGATTCAGACAAGAGCTTGGTCATTTTAAGATGTCTTTTTTGCTGCATGCTTGCCGCCAAAGCCGTTCAGTCACACCCCGCTGTTTTCGGGCGCTTCTAAGTGTGAGGTAAGGTCAGCAATTATGTTTTTGGTGATCCACCCACAGAACAAGTGACTCGATGTCCCGGTCACCGCAGCCACGTCTTTCAATAGTTACCATGGAGATTGCCTCTTTCCTCCTCTCAGAGTTGGAACAGAGTAATGAGCAGAGGAGCAAGGAGTGAACTCATCAAACTGTCATCCAAAATGTTCAGCACTATTAAACTACCATTGTACCCTAGCATCTCCTCACTCCATTAGTATGATTTAACTTCAGTGATTTAACTTCAGTGTTTAAGGAATTCTCAGACGCATTTGCATGATTAAAGTATGGAGACAATCACATGATTAGTGACCTGGAGGTGGATTCAAACCAACAATTTCTTCAGGTCTTCGTCCATTCCTCTTTCGGTTAATTGGTCCAGACTATGGTAGCGATGGATGATGTCATCTTCAGTAACTACTACCACTCGCACGCCATGAGAGTCATCTCCCAGCTGACAACCAACAGCGGAGCTCACCACCATATCCAGCCCATCATAGCAGCCCCCTGCATTTCTGTGGTAGTGCCCGGAGAACACAGCTTTCACCCCTGAAACGAGAGACATATATTTAAAGTCTAGTTAAAAATAAAATGTCTCTACAGTGAAATCACACAAAATAGTCAATTCATGATCACATCAGTCTCAGTTTCATGCCTACAGATGCACACAGTCCATTTGATGACCAGATACATATTAATGCATCTGATGCATTATGCTTACAAAACCGGAGGGTACCTGTTCGGTCTTTAGATAAAAGTGAATTTTTTTTTTTTTTTAAAGTCTACCTAGAAACTAAGGTGTACTTACCAGGTTGATACAGGGTCTTTTTGAGGTTGAAATAATCACTGGATATGCCAACTTTTGAAAGGTTAGTGACATAAAATCACTGAAAGAAATGTAAAGTTTTATTTGAGGTACTTAAGTAAACTACATATCCATTTTTACTTTATTTTCTGAGTTTATCTGTGTACTTGTTTCTTTTGGATGGGTAGAAATGCATTTCACAATGCATTGTTTTTTTTTTTCTCTCCAGGTCTTGTGTGTGTCAAATGTGAAGGGAATTTTTTTAATGAATCATTTAAAACAAATCATAACAAACATTTCTCTTCATTGCAGGCCTAACATGCCTAACACTTTAATTAGTGTGTTTCAATAATTGATACATATGGACAAGACTGCTATACGTCTGTTGCTGGACTGCACATATAAGAAAAAACTATAATTTTAGAGAAAAATTATGCAATGAGTAAGCATGTTGCCTTTGTCATGCACCTATTCTATAAAACTGTTGTATCCTTTTTGCTGGAGGGATTCTCTGTGATTGGAATGAGGTCTGTTGGCTGTAATTAAAGCATATTCAAAGGCATCATCTGGAGTCTGTCTGGTTACTGCTGCGCAGTAGGTGTAGTGGAACACTAGAGAGCTTAGTCCCAAGTGATAGTGTTCATAGGGGCCAAGACATCGTCTGACTCAGAGTGAGACTCTTAGGCATTGGGTATAGTAGCTGTGATTCTTAACTCAATTGTCTAAGGCCTGGTTCTCTCGTGCAGTCAGAGCTATTGCGATGCAGTCAGGGACACCTGAGGATAATTTTTGGTGTTGGGAGACACCAAGTTTAACTTAAGTCAGGTGCGTATGGGAATTTCTACCACACAAATAATTTTTAAAGCCCTTCTTCCACACATAATCTATTGTGACAGTCTATTTTAGAAAATCCACCCTTAAATGGCACTTAAAAACAAAACCAACATAGGTTACACTTCTGACAAGTTTAGGACCAGTAAGATTTTTTAAAGAAATTAATAATTTTTTATTAATATTAATAAATAATTAAATTAATAATATTCAGCGAGGATGCATTAAATTGCAGTAAAGACATTTATAATGTTACAAAATATTTATATTTAAAAAAAAAAATCTGTTCCTTTTAATCTTTCTATTCACCAAGGAATCCTGGAAAAAAGTTATATCACGCTTTCAAAAATATTAATATTACTCAAAAAGTAGCACAATTGTTTTCAACACTGATTATTAGAAAACATTTTTTATTGAGCATCATATCAGCATATTACAATATTTTCAGAAGGATCGTGTACCTCTGGAAGCTGAAGTAATGGCTGCATGAGCTGCAATGTGGACCACATTATGCACAAGACTATAATCAAACCAACATTATGAGGCTATGAGCTCAACATTGCCACTGAATCATCTGCATTTCCTGTCTGATTGACTATGTCTCCACGCTGGTAGAACCGACTGCAAAACCACATGGGCATGGGGAGGTCGCTTCGGATTCAGTTTGCCCCTCAATCTGCATAACCATTGTGAAGCTTCTCATCTCTCCTCTGCAGCAGTGGCCAAGGGTCTGCCATTCAGGGGTTTAAAGCAATGGACCGAATGCAGAATCACTATAGTTCATCAAACAAATCACCCAGAGTGAGAGACACAAATGAGCTCTCTTTTGTGAGGGACATGAGGCTGAAGGTGGCTCTTCCACAGTTCAGCCGAGGTTTCTTTTCTGAAGAGAATTCTGAAAAGGTGGTACCCCCATACCAAGCTGATAGATGCATTTGGAAACAGGAAACAACATTTCACATGAATTTTTCATTCAGAGGGCGCAAAGGTGCCAAAAACCACAGGGATGATGGCAAGACAGGAGGCGATGGCATGCCAAAATACACAAAAGAAGAAGAATAAGAAAGGAGAAAATTATTATGACAGAACACAATGTTGAGAGGTATAATTACATATTGCTGCTTGCTATCAGAGTTCATCTAAATTTCACAAGTTGTTCTTGTTCCACATGCACATGATAGCTTTCATGCTCTGTTGGACACTGCTAATGAAACCACACAAACAAACACAATTACAAATACCTTGACACTTGAAGACTTAGACAATGCAGCACATAAAGCAGAAATCTTTCCAAAAACAATTAAAACAATGGGAACAAAACATTAGAATTAATTATAAATGCATGTAAATTACTTAAATCGGAAGATTATGCACATTTCAAGCATCTTTCACATATCATAACCTCTAATACACTCGATGGAAACAAACAACAGAAACATGACGGGAAAAAGAGGGTGTCCAATTATCTGGAGAATTCGGATGTGAAAATGAGGAGGGGGAAGAAAAATCAAGGCACTTCTTAAACAAGTCATTTACTCTAAGGACATCCTCTCTACTGCACTACCGGATATAATAATTAGGCATGCAATACTGTTAATGACTGCACACATCGACTGTAACTACACATCAGCCTGAAACCTGCTACAAAATAGGGGGCACTTTCCACAAATCTGCACAAAACAGCCCTGAAACTATTAAAAAACGATTTGTTTGTGTTGTTTTCTATGAACGGTCTGCAAAAGTAGGTGCTTAACATTTAGAAAACGTGAATTAATTTAATATCAGTTTAACAGATTATGTCAAAATCTGACACTGTTGCATGATGCTAATTGCTGGATAAAGTCAAGAAGATCAAGACCCACTTCAAGGTATAGGTCAAGATAGGTGGAATTAGGCCTGGGCGATAAAACGGTATCGATATTTACCGACGGTACACCTTCTTCGATAACGATATAAAAAATGTTCGATATAGCGCACGATATAGGCACATGCTATATGAGTGACGCAGACAGCACACACAAACACGAACATGAGTGCTGTGCCTGCCTGTGATGAGGAGATTGTGAATTAAAAAAAAAGAATATTAGTCGAATTTAAAATAAACATTTGCATTTGAATGCAAAAATGCTACAAGCGAATGTTTAGGTGTGCATCAGGGAGCGTCATCAGTGGCGCACGAGATGCGGTGATGATGATGTAAGTGACGTTGTAGTTTAATGTTTTGTTAGTCTAGCCCACGAGACACGCCGCTGCTGTGTTATTCATTCAACATATTAGAGAAATATAGAAGCTCAATGCATAGAAGATCTTGATTAG